AAGGAAGCAGACATGTTGATGTTTAGAGTACGCGATAAAGAAATTTCAAGCTGGTGAAGGAACCAGCAGCAAATGTGATGACTACTTAGCAGTCGGAAGGGGCCTCATCGTCACATCCCTCACATTCCTGAATGAATCCGGTGTTCTGCTCGTCCAAATCAATGGCGTCATTGTGCCACATACGATCGCCTTCCTTGATTACTAATACTGACGAGGTTGAGGCTGCGCAATACCCTGAGGCTGAAGGCAGTATAAATTTGAAACAAAAACCTCCAGCTAGCATTGCCTGTACATTACTCACTACCTTAATCTCAACTACACGCATTTTATTTGCAAATAATTGACTGAAATAGGCCGATGATCACGGCAGGTGGATGGGGCTTACACTCGTGCCGATTAAATTGGACGGTAAACATAAGCCTTCACGTTAGGCTTTTGCATACTGCTCAGGCAGAAAGATAACAAGGGCTCTCACGTACAGCACGTGCATTCACTGACCTGCACATGTCAACTTATCCGAAAATGTGGCTTTATAAGCCACTGATGCGGCCCTTTGATCAAACTGTAAGAGAAAGCAACCTCCTAGTCGGGTTAACGACTAGTGAATTTGAGAAGCGTCATCAGTTGATCTTTTTCCGTGGCGAATCTACGACCGCTTGGTTGTGCTTTTGATCGATTTTCCCACGTCGAAAATTCCGGTCCTTTCGAGCGTGCATGCAATCGATTTTCGAGCCGAGCATCTGCTCGTGTCTCCCACTAATTGGCAAATTCAAAGACTTCACGTTGATGAAATGGAAGAATCACGTAAATCGAACAGGTAAAATATGAGAAACTATGAACTTCTACTTCTCGATTGTTTCTAACAGCGAGATCCACCAATCTATTGACAACAAACTGAACTTCATTTTGAGATAAAGGAAGGAATGGTACCGCCACTACTTGTATAATGAGCATCTCTCGAGTCATTTGCCATGTTAGCAGCCTGTAGCGCACATCACATTTGCTGCTGGTTCCTTCACCAGCTTGAAATTTCTTTATCGCGTACTCTAAACATCAACATGTCTGCTTCCTTGTAACAGACTGAAAACGCTCTCGAACAAATCGTTGTTAAAATAAAAGTGCTCAACTGAGGGGAGGTTGGCGATGCCAAGCCGAAAGCGGTAAGTCGATAGGGCCGCAGGGCCATCACAAACGAGCTGGCCGTTGAGGGGCGTCGCGGCGCAAGTCGATGCGCCCGTGAGTGCGGCGAGTGTGTGTGGGTGCGTGTGCGTGGCGGTCCGAGTTAAACCGTGTGACTCATGCCTGACTCCTGCTGGTCCCGGCTGCGCAGCGTGTGGCTGCGCTTTGTTGTCGCATCGAGCCTGCGAACCACCACCACCACCAGCACAAGCCGGCGCCGCTAAAGCCCTCGCCTCGGAATGTTGCGTTGGGAGAATACCTTCTGGGGAAATTATTTCTGAAAAAAAGGCACTAAAGCGGAAGGTGTCTTCGAGCCACCAGTCACGACCCCCTCGTCATGGTCACTCCGGTGGATAGATCCGGTATTCATGTAGGGTATTGAACAGGATGCCGCGATCTCACTTAGGTTGAAGTGGACGACACACCATCTGAGTGGAGAGAAGCATCAATGAAATTAGCTAGCAGTGGTTCAACGCTGTGATGGACGTGGATGGTAGTAATTCCAAGCGGGCCCCACTGAATTGTGTATCTGCACGCAACAGCCCAAATTATGCGTATTTGTCAATAACGCGTCACATTTGGTGAGAGAGCTATGTGTTGATGTCACTTCTTTGGCTTGCGACGATTTCGACGAAATGCATTGGAGCAACACATGTCCTTGTTTCGATCCTCTGTTCACCTGCATGAAGTGCCTTCGAACAATTCATGAATGCAATGGCCTCCATCGTCGAACGTTACGACACGTTTGCCTCAAACCCGTCTAAAATCTACTCGCCATTCCCTCAGTCGCGAAGCCTCGACCTCCTCGTTCATGCCAACGGATGTCACTTGTGTCACTCTCAACTGCAATATCAACTCTGCCAGGGGAGGAACGAGGTTGCTTTCCGCTCAGAAGGGGTCTCAGTGCACCACAAAGGTAATTCTGCGCTGTCGCTGCCCTCCGCGACTCCTCCAAGCCGTGCCTCCCGAATCTGCTGAGCACTAGAACCTCCAGTCCGCTTAGCCGAATCGGTACGTTTGTGCACTTTTCTCTATTCTGGCATAAACTGTGTCGCCGTCAGCGTTCTAGCATGAGGAAATACTTGTTGGTTGTTTTTTCTAAATTCGTTTAGATGTAGTGTTCCATAAGTCACGTCCTTATTGCTTATCTCAAGTCGTTTGCACCCTGCTACGACCCTGCCTAGCATTATTTGACATTCTGACTGTGAACCAGAATCCCAGAGATTGAAACGTGCTCGATGACCGTTACACTCCCGCCGTATTCGTATGCCACTACACTAACAACGACGTATCATAACTACGTCTTGAGGGTAAGCGGAGGTGCGTTTTCCATCTCCGGCCCTCTCATCATCCCCTATCTGCTGCAGGCTGCTCCGTTTCGTTGATTTTGTTGTGTGACGAGAAGCAATAAAGCACGGTTAGGAATTGTGAGCGGAAGCAATTTGCAAGCGTGAGCGAACACGATTCAGCCGATTTACGCGAATTCACTCCACGTGAGTATGTTCGTCCAAGGATCGATGCCTAGCGAGGCCATATAAACTCACTCGTTACCCTGTACACACACACACACACACACACACTCACACACATACACACACAAACATCTCTTTCCACGACTTAATAGAGGACCGCTGCTTCTTTATTTCGGTCTTATTTCTCCCCACACCATGGCGCAACAGTTGATTCCCTTAAGGTTCACTTTTCCGGAGCATGTGATCTCTGTAAAATCAGATGAGGCTAATGTCCTATTCTACACAGAACCGCTGGTTCAAAACAGCGCGTGCCCATAGCCTATTTCCCTCCTCATCGAAGTCTAGTGGGTTTGCTCCATACCCACAGGAACCAGTTGCTAAGCTGCATTAGGCGAGGAGGGCTTGGGTTGTAAAATTGTGTGCGTGAGCTCTAGTCTGAGGTCAGCCCACTAAGGACTGTGCGTAGGAACGATGGTGAAGGGAGCGGTGGGTCACGTGACTTTGGGGAAGAAGAAAAAGCCCCGTGGGTGTGTGCGCGTGTGTGTGTGCTGTGAGGTCAAACGGACATCGCTGAAGCGTGTGCAGTCGGCATGACAAAAAAGTACATTAGCACCGGCGCTTAGCTCAAGTTCACCTAAACAAGGTCACTGAATGCCAGTGGAACGCTCCTTGCCTAAACGAAGTTGTCTCCGTTGATGTGCTTATGGCTTTCAGTGCTAGGCAATTACATGTGTACTTTTCGAGCGACTACTACCACAGAAGCGGAGTAGTAGCTGTATGCAGATTTGCTCTTCCTCTAGAGAGTCGTGGCGTTTTTGGTTGATGTCGAAGACAGCATCCAACCAGAATGCCGAACGAAATGGCAGGTCGTAAAGAGTGGTCGGTTGGAGCACGATGGTGTTAATGAATTCCACCTTAACTGACGACTATCGGCGTGAAAGAAGCTCTGTCTTTGATGTGACGGTTGTGTGTTTGGTCAGAGAAGGGCCTTCAGAGAAATATTAGGTCCACAAAATGAATGACTTGAGGTGGTTGAAATTGACCACGACACACCTGGCAATAAATTAGGTAAGCGTGCGGCTTACCAAGTCCTGGTACTTGTAGAACACGCACCATCTGAGTTGTTGAAAGTGAATAAAGGCAAGTTGACAGGCAGACAAGCAAATCAAAGGACCTGACTTGGCTCATGAGATCGGATCCACGGTTCAAGTAATTTGACTGTTTGTGAGCCTATTAAGCGATGTAGTCTCTACTCGCCGTTAACCACGCTTGTGAGCTGGGACAGTGAAATGGGCATCCACAATCTACGGTTCGTGCATTGACGCGGTGGAGCACGAAGCAGTAGAGTCAAAGAGAACTGGTCATTGCACCACCTCAGATGCCGAACCTGCTCTCTTTATTGGTGGAATAGTGTGCATGAGGTAGTGCATTCTGGCTACCCCATCACCATCATCATCATCACCACCACCACCACCACACATGCAGCATCACTTGCGCCAAAGGGCTCTCCCATGTGCGTTGGTTGCTCATTGTTAGCAAGCCATGCTTGAGAGTGCCGCGACACGCAGATTGTGTGACGTCGTTGTTGGTTAAACCAGTTGGTTTATAACTTCACAAGGTATTTCCCCCGGTTCCGGAATTATTTGCCAGTGTTGCTTGGTGGCAGACGTGCTTTCCTCGTAAATTCGAACGAGCACAATTTTAGTGCAGTGTCAGATTGGTTTGTGCGTCACAAGTTGTTGGGTTAAATAGAAACGAGTTGGCTGCCGACATTGCATGGTGAATTGATTGGCTGGTTTAGCAAACGACTGAGATTCTTTGTGGGCTATAAATTGCGGGGTTTCTAAGGTTGGATTCTTACCGACTCCGTGAAATGCGAAAAATGGCATAATTTTAACCTGGTGACAACATGCACGAATAGGCATATCTTCATGTGGCAGTGAACGTTACGTTATGTACTCTGATTTCTTGTTGTGATTTGCATATTTTATCAAGCCACCTTTGTGTGCTGGACAAATTATAAGTAGAACATTGGTGTTGTACTTTGTCGGCAGTATTTTTCCAAACCAACAAAAATAACATGAACTTGTTGCAAATGTATAGGTTTGCTATGGGACTTTTATTTATAATAGATAACCATGATTTCAAACATTAGTGAACACAGCTTTCGTTGAAATCGACATCCTAACCCACTATAGATAAGAAAATGTTATCTATTTAAACCGAGTCTAAAACGAACAGGGACATGAGGGCTCGAAAATGTACAAAATAAATGCTACTAAATTAAAGAGAGTGATATAATGTGGCTCATAAAACACTTGCCATGGGTCGCCAAGACCTGGCCCTTCTTAGGTGAAGCGGAGACCTCGAACGGGCAAGATTATATACGCTCACCGTGACATAAATATAAAGGCGGGCACAAAATCGAAGTCGCCTTTATTAAGCTTGTTGAGGCAAGGATTCGAAATGGTGAGTGGTTGCTAAGCGATCTTGACAATAGCGAGCCACAGATAGTGAAGTGCTTTGAATCTGTCCTATTCCAGGTTTTCTAGGAAATGTTCATAAGCTAGGAACTCCTACAAAAATTGAGCTATACCCAGACGCCTTCACTACAATGCAGCGGAGAGAACATCCCAAGAGCCTTGAGGGACAACGAGTGTACTAGAACAATGCAGCAAAAGTTTAATTCACAGTATTAACAATTTAAGAGACAGATTAGCAAAAAGTCATGCCGCTTTCCTGACGCGCTACAGCCTGAAACAATAAGTGCCCCAAAATCTGAAGTTTACCACTAGCATTGCTACCGCGACGCATTGATCTTCTATGATTAATAGAAATTTTAAAACACATTTTCTCATTGAAGGTGTAATATTAACTAGGCCATGTAAAGATAAGAGACCAAAAAAGGAGTCTGCAAAATACGAAAGCCCACAATAGGGATTAGATAAGATTCGATTCAGTGGGACCTTTTGCGGGCTGTTCTGGTGATGGGAGAAAATGTGCGTAGTAACTTCGTGTGAGTTCGGTCATCAGCTCGGGTGTGCACTCGGGCAGCTCGGCAACAACTCTGCCGGGAGAGCCACCAAAGACGCTGAAAGGTGGAACGATGGTTTCCGCAGCCAGGACTGTGTTGTCTAACAAGGCACACGCATCCTTGAGTACACAACGTCTGCTGACAACACAGTTCTTGCCGATATGAACGTAGGAACCAATTTGGGCAGCATTGATGACGGAATCCTCGCCTACAAACACATGATCGCCGATGTGAAGCGGGAAGAAGGCCACGCCTTTGGAGAACTTCTTGAAGGGAGGGCGAATGACTGCGCGCTCGCTGATTACGCAGCGCCGGCCAATGCGAATATTAGCTAAGTCGCCACGGATAATACACTTGGACATAATAATTGTCATCCCACTGAGAACAATATTTTGGCTGCCGCAGAGGACGGATTCGCGACTGACCTTGTTTCCGCTTGCTGTTTCTACGTACTGACGACTATCGTAGTAGATATTCTGTAACTCCATATTCGAACCTGTAACAAATGAAGCAAGTCACCCGAAACTTAGGAAGCCAAAGTTTTACAACATGAAATTGCTTCATCGAAGTCGCGTATCCATTGACTTCGGTACTTGAGCTTTGGTAAAGTGACATAGCTGGAAATGGAAGATATTGTAATTTTCGGGTGCTGGGGTGAAGTATATAGAGGCCCACTACGAAGATCTAGTACCCCAGATAAGGAAAAAGTGGAAAAAATTGAGGATACAATAAATTCCACACCATTACAACATCAACAGTTTCGAAGCAAAGGATCTAGGACAATGAATACGACAGATAACTTCGGCAAAACGATCAACGAAAACGAAAAGGGATAAGAAATTTAGATAAGAGAAAAGGAGTACCACGTCATGAAAGGAAATGTGCAAAAAACTCATGCGTAAGGGTTTATCATGCGCAATAAAGCAGAAAATATGTCCACAACGGACTAAACTCAGAGGACGATTAAAAGATGCACAGATGTCCAGAACGAGAGGTAGACATAAATCCGAAACAACTTAATAATGTTAAGCATTGCCACATTAATTGGTATATTTAAAACGGTAGAAGTGGTTGCCTACAATTGATACCTCAACCCAGGGCAAAACAAAAAATGAATAACAGCACTGAGTGGAACAATGTCCTGCAAACCAAAAACAACACCCAAAGGCATCAACGAAAGTTTGGCGAATAACCAAGCAGTGCCGAGTTCTTTGTTAATTTCGGCTGACTGAGAACTAAGGTGCACCATGTTGAACAACTTGTCAGAACCAAAGCTACATTATTGATAACACTAGATGCTCAAAGAAAAAAACAATGCTATTTATATTTTAACGAAAAACGGTTTAAAAATTAAGGTTTAAAATAGTAGGCATTTCATTTTAGGCATATTTGTACACTGAATTTCGTACTGCAGTGAACAAAATAGATATGAACCAAACATCGAAAAAAATAAATATTAATGGATAGTCACCAAGCGGTTTCGAACGAGATACATCATTTTCAAAACAAAGCAAAAGACAGGGCGCTAAAAATCGACTCAAGTGGCCAAAAATTGCTTCAAATGGAGTTAACCAAGGTTTTAAATAAACATCCTAACAATAAAGCATTAACGATGACGAAATTATAGACGTTTCCAAAAGCATGGGTTCAAGCTAAAAATGGAAAAAGTTAACAAGTGCTGGCTGGCATTAACAATTATCAATGGCTCGATTACATTAAGCTCCACATAAAAAACATTATATTTGGATATAGAAGTCAAGCGCGGAAAATCGAGTAAACTTGACAAAGTTTAACCGAGAAGACTACGTGAAACATTTCGTCACAAACAAAAAGCAAACCATAGCAAGGGGAAAAATACCATGATCCACCATAAACAAATCAGAGATTATACTAAAGATTTCCATACGATAAATTGATAAAAATCAATAAAAATCATTTAGAATTAGAAATGTGTGGTGTGTGGCGTCGGATTAGGGCGCAGG